CACACACACACACACACACACACACACACACACACACACACACGCGCGCGCGCGCGCGCGCACGCGTGCGCGCGGCAACACACACACGCACACACGGCAACACACGCACGCACACACGGCAACACACACACACAACCATGCAGGCCATGCATCATCCAAACCTTTGACGCGCCCTCCCTCTCTGTGCGTATGAGCCTGTCATCTGCCTCCAGCAGGCGCCGCTGCATGTCGCTCTTGGCGCGGGACTCCTCCTGAAGGGCAGGGTTGGCGAGTGGCAGCATTAGGATTACTGGCGTTTGCAAGTAGCAGGGTTCCAAAGAAGCAGGATTTGGGACTGGCAGGGTGTTGAAGCGGCAGGGTTTGGGAGTAGCAGGGTTTTGAAGTGGCAGGGTTTGGAGGTAGCAGGGTTTGGCAGTAGCAGGGTTTGGGACCAGATGGTTTGCAAGCATCCAAGGGGCAAGGACTGGGCTCCCATTAGTATGATTCACAGCGAGTGAATAGGCTTCGCTCCAAGGAGAGATGTGGGTGTAAAACGGATTCAGATGGGCTGGCGCGTGCGGGCGCCGACTCCTGCTGCTGCTCTGCGGCACGTGGGACGAAAGAGAGCGCGGCACGAGCCTCCACTCCCGCATGTCGCCCGTGGCCCCTTCACATGCCCCCCACCTGGTACATGCGCGCCTCCGCCTCCAGCTCCCCCCTCACAACCGCCAACATGCCGCCTAGCGCCTCGATCTTACGGTTGGAATTCGTGTGGTCACGCGCGTGGGGGGTGGAGGGCGTGGCACGGAATCGGCATCGGTGCGGCGGAAAGGCGCCTGGCCGGGGACACGTTGGGCAAAAGCTGCCCTTTTGGACACAGAGTGTGTCCCCAAAAGCCTCAAGGCGCGTCGCGTCGCGTCGGCAAGGGCAAGCTCTGGCTCGCGCCAACGGCGTTGAGCGGCACACTACCATCGTCACACCCCGCTCGCAGACAAGACAGTGACTTGTTGCCCCGGGTTGCCCCGGGTCGACCCCCCACCTTCTCCTCGAGCCGGGCCACCTCGTCCCGCGCCTCGGCCGGCCACAGCGCCCGGTTCGCGCCGACAGCCGCCATCCGAGCCTCGACCTCCGCCGCGACCGCCGCCTCGGCCGCCGCCGCGCGCGCGCCGGCGGCCTCCGCGGCGGCGGTGGACGCGTCGGCGCGGCGCGTGGCGTCGCGGACGCGGGACTCCAGCTTGGTGACGAGCTGCAGGCGCGCGGCGCAGCGGCGGCGCGGCAGGGGAGAAGGGGGCGTTGCAAGGGAAGAGGAGGTGGAGGGTGACGACCTGTGTTGACCGGGGCGACGGGCCTATCCCCCATCAACGCTGAGTTCCCGAACGCAGCAGTCAGAGAATGGGGCGAGTAGGTGTCCATTGTGAAAAAACGAAGCAGTCCAACCGAAGGGCGAGCAGGGTGCATTGCAGACCTAGCGGTCCAGCAATTGTCCCTGGCCCCCACCTGCGCGGTGCCCAGCAGCTCGTCATCCAGGCGCGCCTTGGCCCCCTCAAGCTCACGCACCAGCTGTGTGTGGATTGGGTGGGTGGGCGGGGGGGTGTTGAGGGGGTTAGTTGGTGTTTTGGGTGGGCCACTGTGCACACACATATCCGAATGCCTCACGCACACGCAGGCGCACATGTGCGCATGTGCGCAAAGCACACACACACACACACACCCGCGCGCGCGCGCTTATATACGCACGAGCAAAATGACATACACACACGCACAAACACACGCGTGCACGTGCGCGCGCGCGCACACGCACACACACACACACACACACACACACACACACACACACAAAGCACTGCTCGTCCCCTCTGTGCGAGATCCAGCCTCATGCCGTCGCGGCACGCATGCTTGATACTGCTAGCACACACCCCCCAGGCCCCCACCTTTCTGTAGTCCTCCAGCTGCCCCCGCTCCGCCCTGCTCTCCTCCAGCCGCTCCCTCAGGGCCGCCGCGGTGGCCTCGAGCTGCTCCTTCTCGGCCACCGCCCCCTCCAGCTCCCGGACCTGAGGGTTATGTGGCGCAAGATGATTGCACATCACGGGTAGAAAATATCACAGAAAAACAAGCGCTCCACAACAGGATGACATAGGGTTGGTTTTTTGCAGGATTGCTCTTGCTGTTGTGTTGGCTTGCGCCGCCTATGAGACGAGACCTTGCATGAAGACACAAGCTCACACAGGACACGCTGCAGAAGCACGCGTTGGCCCCTCTTGGCCTCCCATGCACGCTGTCCAGCCCCCGACGGCCGCACAACTGCACGCGCCCTGGGCCGGCAGCTGTCAGGCACAGCTCAACGGCCGGCCCAGATGCCGCGATGCGATTGATTGATGCTGCGGCTGGACGACCGGCTGCCTCGCAGCCGGCGAGGCCCCATGCGCCACTCCACCGCCCCGCAAGAACCGCCAGCCGCCCCGTCAGCACGCCCGGCACCCGCCACCCAGGGGCGCGGTCGCGGTCGTGGCGGTAAACCAAAGCCGAAAGGGCTTCCCATCGTTGCGGCAAGATGCAAAGCCAAATCAGGGTTGCATCCGCCCACCTCTGCCATGAGCTGGGCCTCACGCAGCTCGCTGGCATGCAGGCGCCTCTCAAGAGCCTCCGCCTGTGAGCGGCGCCGCGAGGGCGACCCAGGAGGGTTTGTTGGGTGGAGGGGGTGGGTCCTGCGACGCTGACTGCAGGACAGGCTCGCTGCCGCGACGAGCGAGAGAGGGAGGATGTGGGCGCCAGGCGGATCAGGCTGGGCGGCGGCGCGGCGGCGGCGACGCTCCATCCAAAACTCAGCTGACCGAAGGTCACAACAGTCCAGATCCCAGATCCCAGATCAAAGATCCCAAATCGCGTTTTCACCTGCGCCCGCGCCGCCGAGAGCTCCCGCTGCAGCCGGCCCCTCTCCTCCTGCAGCTGCGCCAGCTGCTCCGCCACGCGCGCGGCGCCCGCGCCGCCGGCACCCGCGCGACGCTCAGCCTCTGCGGCGGACGCCTCTGGAGAGGGTCCAGGGTGGGGTGGCGTTCACGAACGCAAAACCCCCACAATAGGACAGCACAAGCGCACATGAAACAGGCTGTGACGCAAGCGGCGCCCTCACCATGCATCCAGCACGCTCGCACGACAAGCACAGCTGCCCGATAAGCAGGCTTGCGCCTGTTCGCCGCACGCATCAAAACCAATCCACCACCACCACCACCACCACCACCACCCCCACCACCAC